AAAACAAATCTTGGCTACCGAGCAACAGGTTAATATCACAATCAAAACAAATCTTGGCTACCGAGCAACAGTTTAATATCATAACCATAACGAAAACAAATCTTAGCTACCGAGCAACAGTTTAATATCATAACCAAAACAAACCTTGAATACAGAGCAACAGTTTAATATCATAACCATAACGAAAAAAATCTTGACTACCGAGCAACAGTTTAATATCAAAACCAAAACAAACCTTGAATACCGAGCAACAGTTTAATATCACAACCAAAACAAACCTTGAATACCGATCAACAGTTTAATATCACAACCAAAACAAATCTTGGCTACCGATCAACAGTTTAATATCACAACCAAAACAAATCTTGGCTACCGAACAACAGTTTAATATCACAACCACAACCAAAACAAACCTTGGCTACCGAACAACAGTATAAAATCATAACCACAACCAAAACAATTCCCGGCTTCCGAGAAACAGGTGAAAGACATAAGCATTACTAAAACAAATACTTGGCTTACGAGAAATAGTTGATTATCAAAATCATAATCAAATCTGAACAAAATTTAACAAAGTGTCAAAAAATTCCTTTCCTTACACAGATTGAAACCAAATTTAAATGACTACTTTAGTGCAGAGAAGCTACTGCTAACTTTCCAGAGTAAATTGACCTATTTATAAAATCCTTTGTTTGTCCACCTCTTTCATTTTTACGAAATATGTCGATTGTGCCAAATAAGATTTGTAGAAGATAAAAAGAGAATGATAATATCTTACTTTATGTACATAAGTTATACAGTAATAACTTTATAACTTTTGTACAATATAATATTTGCATATATCTCTATTATTCACTCGCTAGAAAGTCAAAAGTATTTCACTAGTTTTTGATGCACGATACAAAATAAGTTTCTTACTTAGATTTACGTCAAATTTATGATAAAAGTAAAAAACTACATAACAATGTCATTCTTATTCAAAACGTTAATTTTTCGTATAAGAAACAGTTGATATTTTACTCAATTATTTTTTGGGTTTATCCAGTGTATTTTTATCTCTACTTGATATTAGTACCATATCGAGAACTGTTCTCGTTATTTCCTACTCATATTTGAACAGTTAAATAGATTTTGGTCTTATTTTTGTAGCTTTAGGCAAGAGCTAAAACCCTAGAACAATAGGACCATCAAATATACTTTATAAAATTTGAATACATTGTAATAATTTTTTTTTCCAGGTGCCCCCACAACTTTTATAATTAGCTGGAGTGTCGTGATGTCACGTGACCTTAACACGGTTTGCTGGGAAGGTTATGGCAGCTCAATGTTCGTTTGGATTCTGACAGGTCCAATGCTGCTAGTACTTCTGGTACATCTTTCTTGAATATCAGCTTAAATTTTATGTTAAGTTTAATGTTCTACAAAGCAAAAACAACAACAACAAAAAACAGTTATCATCGCAAGTTATGTTCGCCTAATAAGATAGCTTGTATTCGAAAATTAATCCAACAAAAATATTTCTAACCTACTTGACAGCGAGTACTTCGCCTAAAAGTAATTCACCAAATTAGTAATGTAAATAAATGCAAAAATCAACAACAACAATAAGCAAACACAGTTATTTCTTTTACTTAGACACCAGTCCGACTTGTTTCCGATATAGCAAAACGCTTGGAAGCAGTATGAAATATTATATTTTGACAATTAAGTAAATGCTTTCCCTTGAGCTACTGTTATATGAGGTCAAAATTAATACTCGTAATATCGCTCTGTACTACTTCGATGCTTCATTATTGCAAACTTGAGGCCTAGTAAAGAAAAATACATGTTTAGTGTTCCTGCCAGCTTACCCCCCCCCTTTTTTTTTTTGCAACCGCCTTCCCACACTTTTGTGGCAATTTTTTTTTCTTTTTATGAATTATCGTTTATCGATCATACAAAAAAAAACAACAAAGGAAACTTCTGAATAAATAATAAGATGGACACAGTTGATTCGTTTTGCCACTTTTCTTTATTTGCCATAAACTTTTAATCGCTTTGATGAAAAAATTAAACAAAGAAGACTTCTATTTGAATTGAACCCTTTGAAAACAAGCAACAATCACGAAAAAAGGGTGCATGCTTTCTTTCAAAGAAATCCTTTAAAATAATGACGACCCCCCCCTCCTTCCATTTTTCGAAAACTCCGGATGCTAAACTTTTTTTTAACTTGGCCTAAACTGTACTGATAAACGCCAGATTCGCTGATATGTTAAGTATGTCGTGCTTCGTGATAGTTTTTGTAATTTTATGACAACTAGTATACGTCTCGCAGCTAACATGTACTAAATATTCCATGATATAATACTGACATATTAATGATAAAATTATTTGTTTGAGCACAAGTTTCTTAGCATTAGTTATTATTTAATTTAATATTTAACATGTTCTGTGTTTCAACAGATTAGTTTGCATGTAAAATCGTTTAGTTAAAGTCTACGACATATTGTCCATGAATTTTTCCACAAAGTTTCTTTTTTTTCAGATTAATACCATTTTTTTAGTGAACATTATTCGAATCCTGGTCACCAAACTGCGAGCCAGTGTCTCCGTTGAAACAGCACAAGTTAGGTATAAAACATTCCAAACTAAAGATTAGTAACTAAAATATCCAACTGTCATTTATCTTAAACCTGGAAATAGTCTTAAAATATTTGTAGTTCTATTTTACACATAAATGATGTTGAGCTCTCTGTTATATTTTTGATTGTCAATGTAGTTAAACATTAATCTTTTCTGGAATAATGTTATGCTGAAAAAAAAAATTATTGGGATTTATTTCTAGTAGGTGGCGTACAAATAGGCTTAATGAAGTTTACAGTGAACTGTGAAAAACTTAGCTTAACTAAATTAGTTTGAAAAACTTTAAATCAGTGTTTCCCAACCACCGGTTACAGACTGCTAACGGTGCGTTACAAACACATTGCTGGTCCATGGAATTCTACGAAAACAAACAAACACTGATAGAACATTCGTATTCAAATCGTTGTGGTTTTTAGTTTTACTTGCACATTAGTAGATCGCAACAGGTTATGGAACTTTGAAGCAACTAACCGGTCCCTGGTATCAAAAAGTTTGAGAAACGCTTTCTAAGACTAACTATATTAGTTTATTATACAAAGGTCAGTGTTGTATTATTTGTTATTTTATTATAATCTTATATATTGTTCTCGGTATACTCTATTGTTCCTTGCTAACCACCTTACAATTACTAATTATCAGATTGCTATAATAATTTGTGGGTTATGAATTAGGCCTACAGCAGTTCAAATCGATTCGCCGTGAAAGTAGACCAGCACTACGATGATTAGGCTAGCTGTAGCAATTAATTAATGAGAGACTTTATAAGTCGCAATTGTCGTTAGGCGGCGTCAGGTGCTACCGGGACTGCGAGGAGATAAAGGGGAACGCGACAGCGCTTCATCAACAACCGAATCTAAGTAGGTGTGAAAAGTCCGATGTTAACTTTTCAACAAGTTCTCTTTTCCTTCCTGTAAGCTTTGCATTTCGTTCACGCACAGCTTGCTTCAGCTCTTTTATGTTTATTTCTCCATAATTGTTGCCATTTCGTATATTTTGAGTTAAATAGTTGGAAGTTGAACGATAATCGGGGTTTGGGGACACACTGTCACTCTGGACAGTTTCAATAAATTTACAATCACTGCTAAGGCGACTTATTTCTTGTTTTATGAAACCGACAACCCTATTTTAGCAGTTTCGGGAGAAAACAATAAAAGTACATTTTAATATTTTTGCCCACCTTATTTTACACAAAACAATTAAATCTACTTATACAATAATTGTGCTTTACGATTCATCCAAAGCGTCAGATGAACAAATTCTAGTCCCTAACCTTCAAGCCTTGTAATGTAGAGCTAAGAAAGTTATTTTGGTACATGTAATATTAATATTTTAGAACTCAAATGTCACACAAATGTTTCTGAAAACTATACTTTATAGACCAAGATTATTTAGGAATAGAAAGCTGTGTTATTGACAAGACAAATACTTATTTATGTATTTGTAAAATTGGAAAGTTGTCATAATTTCATGGAAAAAATGATTCATGATAATATTCATATTTCGTAAACATTTTATAAATTAGGTTGGAATTTTATGACTTGCATGGTTTATGTTATAAATTTTGTTAAGTAAAACCTGATCGTGAAGTAAAAAACAAACAAACTACTAAACGCATACATTGCCTGAGGTTGGAACGTAACTAAAACTGAATTAATACTATCAATCATTTTCATATATTTAGTGTTTTTAAACTAGAGATCTAATTTCTAAATAAATTTATTGATAAAAGTTAATAGGGTGCCCATCATTTTATCACGGTGACAATAGTGAGATAATGAAAAGTAATGATATATCTAGATCTAATAATAAATAGAAATCCATATAAATAACAAATAATAATTTGTTTAAATACAAACCTGTCATGTCTCTATATTGTAATCTGATGGTAAGAAATGACTGCTGGGTGATGGCCACTATAGCTTTGAATTACCATTTACATGACCGATAACAATCACCCATGATTTGTTCTTTTCTTTCTCATTTGGAAGTTCATAACCTCCACGCTTATTACAACCCGGCACACTACAACAGCTGTGTGGCATTTTACTAGTATTCTATATCAAGTTTTTAAGATATATTTTAGATTGGATGATTTGGCTCTACTTGTTCAAGACAACAAGACACTTATTTCCTATTCATCAGGCTTCGGTCCATGTTTTGGACCAGGGAGGGTCAGGTTCAGCGTTGACCTCTTCCTCACTCTTAGGAATTGTTATTTTGTTTGCACTGTTACTGAACCCTAGGTAATAACCCTTGTTACGTTGTTGCATTACTCACAGTATGTTAAATTTTGTCCATTGTCCTTTTCGTGCCATGTCCAATTCATGGTGTATTATTAACTTGTATATGTTCACTAGCTTCACTTATGTATGATCGTACTATTAGTCCGTGTTCACAATACAGTTCCACTTAGCAGTCATATACACACACACACATACATAATCCTATTTTTACCGTTACGTATTACAATTTCATATTGCCTAAAACTGAGTTAAATTGTAATTTAGACTTAGAAGTTAAATAAATGCCGATATGTATTCAATTTATGATATTTGCCAACAAGATTAATACACACAGTTTCTTTTTTAATACAGATATATTTTAATATACAAATAATAATACAATTTGCAATAACAGTTATTACAAATAATGCTCTATGTACAAAAGATTTACAAACTTACAAACAATATTGAGTCTTCTTTCTGGTCTGGAACTTCCTTGATATCTTATCGAGGGTTCACGATGAGCGAATTAATTTAGAGTTGATGTAGATACAATTCACTTAATATGGACTTAGCTAGCTCTGTAGTCTTCACGAATCACACGCCGATTTTTCCTACCGATGACATTAGGTAATGTTTTCGTAAAAATACTAATGTCGTACGTGAATCCACTGAAGTTAAATGGTTTGTAATGTTCGAAATTTATAGACGTTCCTGGTCAAATATCTGAAGTCCCCGATTATTAAGCGTTAATCGCAGTTATAGCTTCTGAGGTTTATAGTATACCAACTGCAGGAAACCAATAATATATACTGTCTTTTGGCGCGTCGCGTTGGTTATATTTATAGGCGTGTCTCGAAAGTTCAGCTTACGCAACAATATAAACGATACATCAGTGTCTACGTAAACATATACATTGTTGATTCTGACACTCGAGAATTTTCTACAATTTAAGTGAATAGGCGGGAATTTCGCAATACAGATTTAACAGTATAAGTTCTGTACATTTCTACATATAAATTTAACTTAAACAAACATCGATATTAAAATAGATATATGATAGTAAATCCGTCACATTACATACAAAATCCTTGTAAAATAGAGTTACGTTTGTGTCTATGATTCAGTTAGCCTAGCACTGTTTGTCCTGTAAGTTTCTTATTTATGATGTTTAGAGAGGATAAGTACGTAGGACTTGGTTCATCATGTATTATGTAACTCTCTAGTTTGCTCGTCAGTTCATTTTTATTAATATTTTTTCTTATGATATTGAAGCGAGTTATCTAGGAGTCTGTCTGATAGAGTTGGCATGTTTGAATAGTTGTGTAGAAATACTGAGTTTGTTGATCTAGGACACTTTGCTGCTGTTCTTTATCGGTGTTTAGGTCTTATAGACCTGGGAGGGTTAGATACACTTGACCCGCCCCCGGTAGATGGTAACTGGTTTCTGAAGAATATTAATTTAATTACAACATGAGGGTCAAAGTACCCCGAACTTACTTTGACCCCTTTCAGGGCAATGTCCATGTACGTAATTACTGTAATATTCGTGTCAATAAACACATTTTCTCTTTATTTGCTGTTGCGAAAACTCTGCATATGACGAACAGTTCCACGTGTATTTATCACAGTTTATTAGTTTTAAAACTCCTTGAGAGCATTTCACAAAAATACCCTCTTAATGCTGTCTTAGCAGTTTAAAACTAAGGTAGGTTTCTTAGTCTAGTGTATAGTGGCCTTATTAAATGATTATTTTTAATGTATATATTAATTGATGAGAGGCACTTAGGACTATCTTCTTCATGTATGCAGTAGCAATATAATTCATACGATAAGTAATTTTTGTGCCAATTTTGCGCGAAATAATTTAGCGAGATATGTTTCCATATTTGGATATTTGTGCATAAATATAGATAGTGTGGACCTGGGTACTTTGTATACTGTAGTTAGTAATGAATTCTGTATATTGTTTGTAATTTATGGATATGTCTTGGTGCTATGTTAATCCATGACACACTCAATCTGACAAATCGCATGCCAAAACAGGCGCCAATTGTTAGGCCCGGTAGGTGCTGCCGCCTAACGAATAACGTTATTATGACGTAACTTTTCTAAAGTCCCTTATTGTTAACGTCATTGGTTTAGTGCTAGCTGACTGACACGAGGTGCGGATCGGCCCTGTGATAGAGCCCTGGATTCCGAAGCTTGAAAACTTAGTTCGAATCCGTGCAATATCACAAAATATTTCCCTTACTTTAAACTGAGGTTGCGTTATAGAAGTAATAATCAGTCCCTGAGCGTAGATGATGGGTGGTAGGATGTGCTGGCTGGCTGGCTGTAAAAAAATGACGGACGGCGGCAGAAAGCGGTAAATACAGAATACAAATTACTGTCAAAATGACCTGTCGTTACTATGAGTCAAAAGTTATCCACTGTGTGTCTAACTCTGAAACTTATAAATGTTTATATCAAAAACATAAATATATCTTTTAAAAAAAAAGAAGTAATAATGAGAGTGTTATTTTTATTATGCTTTCAATTTAAAAACAATGTTTTCAACTTTCTTTGACATATAAACCCTTGTATAATAAACAGCACACGGCTGCCAGATAAAGCAGAGATGGTGTAAATTCTAACACCGAATATAAACATCGTTTTGGTGTGCTAAACAACGTAAACTGAAGGACACCTTCAACTAAATATTTAATTCTTTTTAATATTTCTACTACTACTTCATAAGTCAAAACAAATCCAACTTACATTATAAGCTTGCTTAATAAAATAGAGTACTTAAAACAAGTTATATTATTATATTTTTCTAAAGCAGTTATATCATTATATTTTTCTCAACATGTCTGTAGGAAATCTATAAAAGCTACAGTACTTTTATTTCCACTACTCGGGATAACGCATCTTCTGTTCTGCATCAACCCAAGAGGTAGACTGGAACGGGCTTACATGATTACCAACGCAGTAATGCAGTCCTCACAGGTTGTTTTATTTATTGTTTTTTTTAAATAAGTACGAACAATATTAATGATATGATTGCGATTTCCGTAATCATTCCCCGATGTTTATATGTTAGAGTTTTGTTAGGGCTACTCTGTCGTATCTCCTGCTCATTAGCGCGGCTGTTTTCACGTTTTGCTTTTCTTGAATTGACTGGTACTTTATTAAACGGAATGAAAACAAAACAAAGTTGACTTTTCTGTTTTAAATTACTACAGTTGGAGTTGTTTTATTTTCATTCCTTCTTGAGCGACTTGGTACTTTATAAATTGGTTGAAGCAAGCAATGCAGACTTTTCTGTTTTAAATTACTACAGTTGCTGTTGTTTTATTTTCATTCCTCGAATAAAAAAAATTCAATGAATAGTGTAGACTTTTCTGATTCAAAATTTAACAAAGTTGTTAATATTTTTGAACGGCTTGAATGAATCCAGTGGTTGTGTATAAGCTTGAATGAATCCAGTGGTTGTGTATAAGCTTGAATGAATCCAGTGGTTGTGTACAGGCTTGAATGAATCCAGTGGTTGTGTATAAGCTTGAATGAATCCAGTGGTTGTGTACAAGCTTGAATGAATCTAGTGGTTGTGTACAAGCTTGAATGAATCCAGTGGTTGTGTATAAGCTTGAATGAATCCAGTGGTTGTGTATAAGCTTGAATGAATCCAGTGGTTGTGTGTAGGCTCGAATGAATCCAGTGGTTGTGTATAAGCTTGAATGAATCCAGTGGTTGTGTACAAGCTCGAATGAATCCTGTGGTTGTGTACAAGCTGGAATGAATCCAGTGGTTGTGTGTAGGCTCGAATGAATCCTGTGGTTGTGTATAAACTGGAATGAATCCAGTGGTTGTGTATAAGCTTGAATGAATCCAGTGGTTGTGTATAAGCTTGAATGAATCCAGTGGTTGTGTATAAGCTGGAATGAATCCAGTGGTTGTGTATAAGCTTAAATGAATCCTGTGGTTGTGTGTATAAGCTTGAATTAATCCAGTGGTTGTGTATAAGCTCGAATGAATCCAATGGTTGTGTATACAAAAAATTCTAGCATATAACGTACATTTTTATGTTATTTAAATAAATCCACTCATACTTTACAAAAATGTTACACTTTACTCGTGTTGATTTTTCTGACGCAAGTGAGTACAGTCGGCACTATTTCAAGAGTGCTTGGGGTTGTTTTTGAAAAAAAAAAGCATTTAAACGCTTTTTTGATCTAATTTTATGAAGCTCTGGGTGCTTGTTCCTGTACACTGGTTCTAGAGAAACTAATATCGTTTATTATATTTTTAGGGTCTCTTCTTGGCTGTACTTTACTGTTTCACAAACTCAGAGGTACGTAACTCCGAGTTTAGGTTATGTTGTTGTTGTTGTTGTTTTTTTTATTAGCAAATTTTATTCGCTTCTGTTTTGGGTGTGTTTTAAGCATTCTGGTGATATAAGTGATTATTTCAAAAAACATTACATTTTGCAGTCGTTCTATTTTTTCATACGCTTAAGTAAACACATTAGATAATTGCAGCGATACATTCTTTCTTTCATCGTAAATCTGCCGTTTAAATACAGCAACGGCGTTTTTATGGTCATGAGTTTACTCTTTCGTTTCAAGTTAAAGTCTGTGAATGTTGCACCTGCAATGATTGACGTAATCAAATGTATATGATATGAATAACTTGTTTGTTTATTTTCTATATGTGGCACAGCGGTATGTCTGCGGACTTACAACGCTAGAAACCGGGTTTCGATACCCGTGGTTGGCAGAGCACAGATAGCCCATTGTGTAGCTTTGTGCACAACTTCAAACAAACAAACAATCTATACGAAAGTCATATTTGGCTATCAGCTGTGCCAACCTCGGGAATCGAACCCCGGATTTTAGCGTTATAAGTCCGTACACTTACCGCTGGACTTGAATGGGTAGCTGCGATATTAATAAATTGCTAATTATGTCAATGAGGCTAAAATAATTAGATTCACGGATAATGTAATAACGTTTGAATATACTATATTATTTATTCATAGTTATTCTCATCAATGTTTTTGTTTAGACTATTTAAAGTGTCGAATTTTTGTTACTTTATAATTCTGCTGTGTATTATTGTTTTGCCCTGTTAGCCTGATATATGTATTTAGGACTAATTCAATATCCTAAGCCAGTCAAACCACGTAATATATTATGCACCAGTACAGTACATTCTAATCATTCTACGTTTTTTGTTTTTTTTTACTATGAATAATTCTATTACGAACGACGTATTAAGTTAGTTCTATTCATTACTGGGTTAATTTTCCTAATTTTTGTAAGTATAGCCGTAAGAAAAATATAATTAATTGGCTATATTGATTGATATGTTGATTTTTACTTTTGCTTATGAACATATACACTTCTAGAGAGATATTTTAAAGGTTCACATTTTTGTTTTAGTAAGTCACATGGTGATTAAAGATTTCTTGGTTGTAGAGTGAATAAGAAACAATGTGAAACTAGAGAGAGATTCAAAAGTTCACATTTTTGTTTTAGTAAGTCACATAGAGATTAAAGAATTCTTGGTTGTAGAGTGAATAAGAAACAATGTAAAACTAGAGAGAGATTCAAAAGTTCACATTTTTGTTTTAGTAAGTCACATGGAGATTAAAGATTTCTTGGTTGTAGAGTAAATAAGAAACAATTTGAAACCAGAGAGACATTCAAAAGTTCACATTTTTGTTTTAGTAAGTCACATAGAGATGAAAGAATTCTTGGTTGTAGAGTGAATAAGAAACAATGTGAAACTAGGAAGATATTCAAAAGTTCATATTTTTGCTTTAGTAAGTCACATAGAGATGAAAGAATTCTTGGTTGTAGAGTGAATAAGAAACAATGTGAAACTAGGAAGATATTCAAAAGTTCATATTTTTTGCTTTAGTAAGTCACATAGAGATTAAAGAATTCTTGGTTGTAGAATGAATAAGAAACAATGTGAAACTAGAGAGAGATTCAAAAGTTCACATTTTTGTTTTAGTAAGTCACATGGAGATTAAAGATTTCTTGGTTGTAGAATGAATAAGAAACAATGTGAAACTAGAGAGAGATTCAAAAGTTCACATTTTTGTTTTAGTAAGTCACATGGAGATTAAAGATTTCTTGGTTGTAGAATGAATAAGAAACAATGTGAAACTGAACCAACCTCGTGACTTTTGATATAAGTAATTTACCATCGCACTTACGGCGTAAAATGGTTCACAAATAAAATTAGACTTCGTAAAATAATCTCAAACCTAGATGTTGAAGGTTGATTGAGTTTATTTTATATTTTATCGTCCTAGAAAAAAAAAAAACCACCAAACCTCGGTTAGTTTCCAAGTAAGCAACAAAATTTTTTTTATTCAAACTAAACATAACACAAATCTTTGAAAGCTGGGTTGCTATGGGATAAAATATTTAATGTTTTCCAGGTGCAGACTGCATTACGTAATGCTTATCAGCGAGCAGTTCTTAGAAGAAATCCCACAGGGAAATCGACAAGACATGGAGGTATGTCTCACAAAACATCGAGTTCTCATACAAAGAAAATCTAATATCAGAAGTATCCCAGAATTCAACTTTAAAAACGAATCATTTGGCTATTACAGGGCCTTCTGGGACTTTGGGATGTTCTTCTGAAACAAGAAAAGACGGAACAAAGCCAGCGGCAGTTGTCGCATTTCTGAAAGATCACAACCAGCAGGATGTCCTATGAAACCGCCGCTCTTTTTTCGTCCATTCCGTGCACACCAAAAAAATAAAATAAATTTCTGTTATTCCTTGACAATGATAAAGACATATAATTCTTGACACTGTAAGGTCTTTAAACTTGAAGTAGAAACATTTTTGTTTAAACTTTCGATTGTTATTCCTTATCGATATCTGCTTTTCTTCGGAATGTAACAAATAGTTCTCCGTACGAAATAAGTAAGGTTATAAAAAAAATCGAATCTTATTTAGAACTTACTATAAACGCAGTCTGTGCTCAACTATAGTTGTAAAAACCAGAAAGAAACGTGTTAAAACTGTGGGCTCTTTGACAGCTAAGTTTCGAAAGTACAAACTTTTATTAGATTGGCTCGTTTTATTTGGTTGAATTTGTGCATAAGTTGTAAGACACATTTAGCTTGAACGAAATCTACCTGATCTATATATGAATGGATTCGTTCACGTAGGTAGGGTAAGTGCTAGGTCCCCTAGAACTATTTAAACGTGTGTGTCATTTACCTAAAGTTTATTGTAGATAATAGACATTTACTCCATCATCTCTTACAATATCCATAGCTATATAGAAAACCTTAGATCATAAATTACTGTAAGTACAGGCTCCTCGAGAGTTGTAGATCACATTTTATAACAAATATATAAGTTTTTTATTGATCCTCAGAACAGGTACATAATATTGTAAATATAAGATCCTTGAGAATCTTACTTTACCTGCTAAAGTAAATACAGGATCCTAGAAAACCTTACTTCACCTGTTAAAGTAAAAACAGGATCCTAGAAAACCTTACTTCACCTGTTAAAGTAAATGCAGGATCCTAGAAAACCTTACTTCACCTGTTAAAGTAAAAACAGAATCCTAGAAAACATTATTTCACCTGTTAAAGTAAATGCAGGATCCTAGAAAACCTTACTTCACATGTTAAAGTAAAAACACGATCCTAGAAAACCTTACTTCACCTGTTAAAGTAAAAACACGATCTAAAAAACCTTATTTCACTCGTTAAACTTAATACAGGGTCCTAGAGAACCTTACTTCACCTGTTAAAGTAAAGGCAGGATCCTAGAAAACCTTACTTTACCTGTTAAAGTAAAAACACGATCCTAGAAAACCTTATTTCACTCGTTAAAGTTAATACAGGGTCCTAGAGAATCTTACTTCACCCGATAAAGTAAATGCAGGATCCTAGAAAACCTTACTTCACCTGTTAAAGTAAACGCAGGATCCTAGAAAACCTTACTTCACCTGTTAAAGTAAAAATAAGATCCTTGAAAACCTTACTTCACATGTTAAAGTAAACACAGGATTCTAGAGAACCTGACTTCGCCTGTTGAAATAGCTGAATATCTTACAGAATATTAAATGACCTGTTAAATTACGCCTCAGTTTAAAAAGAACCGTTAAGACGCTTCCAATAATACTTGCTAGTATGCTATTGTAAACAATGCCTTATATTGGATGTTTAAATGAAATCGAACTCCATAGGATGACATAAAATAAACACAAAAGTCGTGTGAGAGCCTTACTGAATATTTTTTATGCATGATAACTTTCTTTTTCGTTTTAACACTGATACACGTGTCATTTTATTATGCGTCTTCATTCCGTAATTAATGTTTAACAAATTCATTAAAAGAGGTTCAGAATTATCCATCTCGGTCAAAATGACCCACCTCTTGCTTCACCACATCACTGGTCGTATTCTCTCACTATTACCAAATCACAAACTTTCAAGTACACACACACACACACACATATAAATCTAATACTTAACTTAGCATATTCCAGCTCTACGCTCCGTCTGGTAGCAACTAAAATATTGTTTTTATCTTCACCTAAGAGCTTAGCCTGTAACTTTCATCGAAAGTTTATTTATCGCTAACTGAAATAAAAAATAACTCATCCCCTAGATATCTAACCCTTAGATATTGTTGGATTTAGTAAGACTAACCAAAACTATAACTAAAAGTCAATATAATCATCCTACGTTTACTTTGTTTAATCTCAGATAAAACGATTTCATTTATATTCACCAAAGAAGACACCGAACACAAAGATGTAAATATAGGATATTTACAAGCTATTACACGTGCCAGACTTAACGGTCCGAAGTTTATTTTGCTGCTCTGATCTCCAAAGCCTCTTTCACTCACAAACTCTTAACTTAGTACTTTTCTCATAATTAATCAAGAAACTACATAATGTTGATGTACAACTACTAAGTAGTTCATGGAGCTTATGAGTATTACGTGAAAAATTCGTAATCCTCATGTGTATTCTACTAAATAACCTACAACGTTGATGTGTAACTGTTGACTAACTCAAGGTGCTTCTGAGTGACATGATCGAAACGTTGTTACAAAGTTAAAAACATTAAATAATCCACTCAAAAAGCCGTGTCTCTGGAGTTTTATTTAAAGTATACAGTGGATTTCCTCTGTCCTTACATCAAGTCTTATCGACTTTTCAATGTTACAACTGAGCGTAACTCTAATGAAAAATGAATGATTTACATTTACGTAGTTTATATAATCATATCAAGTGAGCTTCCATTCTTATAGCTCTGTAAAGTTTATCGTCGTGAGTAACAAAATTTTACTGGGTTTGTGCATTGTTATTACAAAGTTTTCATTGTAAATATTCTTCGTAAATTACTTTGTAAATTACTTTCATTAACTGGAAAAGAAACAAAGAACACTACTTGTAAAGTTCTTTGTTTTACTGTTGTTATAAAATATGAAATTGTTTAGTTTTACTTCATATCAAATTACTGTTTGCAGGCAGTATTCATATTATTGTTGCTTATATTTTTAATTTAGCCATTTCTAGACATTTGTATTGTTGTTTGCTCCGAAGGAAGTGGGACGTAAAGTGGTGGGTGTGGCCATATTTGTTGAACTTCCTTCAAAGTTTAAAAAACGACTTGAGCATACATATTTAAAAGCGAATTATGCTCAATTGAATTAGTTGGCCATTGAATGATTAATCAATACAAGATTTAGCAGTCAACCAAAGAAGAAGTGAATTATTAAGAAAGTCACTAAGAATGTTGTTTCTGTTGAGTTATGTTGGATGAAGTAATAGAGATACGATAAAGAACCGAACATACGTACGAGAAAATTAGCAAGTAACTGAAACTACTTGTAGCCTCTATTTGAAACTTAGACCTATTGGCGAACATTAGTTACGTTAAAGGTGGAACGTGAAGATAAATAAATAAAATGTTTTTGTCACAGTTAAATGGATTGAAATGTTCATTATACTTTTTTACAGAGTAATCTAAAACACCACAACCAACAATAAAAGCCATTACAACAGATTTTCTTCATTGATAAAATTAACAGGTAACGGTAATCTTTTTTATGAATTTAGTGAATATGATTGAGTGAATAACAAACATTTATTATAACTTTTTTTCATGAATTACTGACATCATCAGCTGAAGGAAGGTGTTTTCTTCCAACATACTTTTTCTAGCGGAAAATCTGCTGTAATAAGATGTCGTAGCCATTTTGATAAAAAGTTTAGAAAAAAACGAACCTTTATGCTCCACACACACACATATACGTATATACGCATTATTTTATTTTAACCAACGTTTCGCCTTTGCGGCTTCATCAGGGTTAATATATACAATTCGTAGCCAGTTGAAAAAACCTTCACCCGTAATATCTGGATAAATACATAATTATGGAGACTCCCACGTATTTTTTACAGTTCCGTTTATGCGGTATGTTTTGAGAAAATTCAATAAAGAGGTAAATAGGGGCTACAAATGAGTTAACGAACAATTTTAATTAGTCAACACGAAGCATACCTGAGGTTAAATAATATCTCCCCTATATTTCCTCTTCCCTTTGCCTTCCATTCACACACATACACCCGAGGTTAAATAATTATCTCCCATATATTTCCTCTTCCCTTAGCCTTTCGTTCACACACACATACCCGAGGTTAAATAATGTCTCCCCTATATTTCCTCTTCTCTTAGCCTTTCATTCACACACACATACCCGAGGTTAAATAATATCTCCCCTATATTTCCTCTTCCCTTAGCCTTTCGTTCACACACACATACCCGAGGTTAAATAATGTCTCCTGTATATTTCCTCTTCCCTTAGCCTTTCGTTCACACACACATACCCGAGGTTAAATAATGTCTCCCCTATATATCCTCTTCTCTTAGCCTTTCATTCACACACACATACCCGAGGTTAAATAATGTCTTCCCTATATATCCTCTTCTCTTAGCCTTTCATTCACACACACATACACCCGAGGTTAAATAATTATCTCCCTTATATTTCCTCTTCCCTTAGCCTTTCATTCACACACACATACACCCGAGGTTAAATAAATATCTCCCCTATATTTCCTCTTCCCTTAGTCTTTCGTTCACACACACACACACACACACTACTTGAGGAATGCTTAGATAGACATAAACTTGTATAGTTTCATTATTTTGCATTCAAATGTAAAGTGTAAGTACTTAAAATGTGGGGAATCTAAAAGAATTAATTAGAGCATCAGAACAAGGTACTTTTGTACCAAAATTAAGCTTACTTTATTCAGTTCATTACTGGATATTTCAATAACATTGGTCATGTAGACATTACACAAGTGTAGTGTTATATTACACGTAAAAAAACATGATTCAGATCAAACAACTAATCAACTTCTTCGTTCTTTAGTTTTGCATCTTCATATGTAAATTGAATTTCAAATTATGATTGCATCTATAGTTGCTTGATTATATACTTACTTTGGAACTAATAAAAGTAACAAAACCTTCTGAGATGTAGACACACGATATTCAGATTTAAGACGTAGTTCATTAGGCTTAATGATGGTTATAAAAATCACATTACGGTTTCATTAGTTTCATACGTTTCTCGCTTGCAGTTCCAATAAATGAACTGGAAGCTTGCCGCGGGAAACATCCTGGTGGCAGTAAATCCCTCGTGTTGAATTTGTTGGAGAATACATTTCATTTTAGTTGCTGAATTTGATACGAAGTAATTTTACACCGTATCTAAAAAGTGTCTTTTCAAGTTTCACTAAATTATTATGATGTATATATTTTAA